AAGAGCAGCTGTTAAGAAGCACTTGTCGAAGCCTCTTGAAAACTCTTCCCCAAGATCTTCTTTTACATTACAATAATTTCCTTGCTAACAAGAAAAAATACATAGACGTTCGAGCGAGCGAAACAGTCGGGACACCGCGTATTGCTTACGTATAGACGCGACAGTGTGAGTTGAGCGTTTTCTTAGTCGTGTCACACATATTTTAGGACGGCATTTCTGTCCACGATGTCTTATTTTTCTCGCTCCTACGTCTGCGATAGAAGATGGAAGATCGCCGCGAATCCCACTACTAATCTCTCTCCAAACGTCCGACGATCGTATACTGCTAGCCCTCTCCGCCACACTGTGCTACTCGTGCCTCACCTAAAAGCAGCAGTGGTGAGTGACGCGTCATCGTGTGTGAGTCACACGGGTATACGGACGGCATTAACGCCGATGCGTGTACATAAAGAAAAAAGCTATCAAAATCTTTATTCAAAATATTACTAAATACTTTATACAATATATATGATAAAAAAATATGTTCAGTAATATTTTATAAATATTATATGTACGCGCACCGATACGCCGATGAAAAAAGCCGATTTTTGTGCTGAAGAAATTGAGGTCGATAGTCAATAGTCAGTCAATAGGCAATCCAATATTCAGCACGGTAACTTGATTGAATCGATTAGGTATCGAATCAATCAAGATCGCGAGAAAGTCGGGTCGAAGCCGAAGTTCTTCTCAGACAACGAAAGAAAAACAGCGGACGATGATAGCATAAATGGGTCGCATTTCTGTATCCATAGTAATAAGGAACAATAATTATTTGAAACAGGTGCAAAAATCGGCCTTTTTCAGGGCCACCAAATTTTATAACGATGGAATGATTCTCGAACGCATAAAATATGAAATAATTATATCTCGCGTGTTTATGCAACATTAAAATTAAAAATACTCTACTTCGACAACCTATACAAGCGCTGTATTTTTACAGTATTCTATATTGATTCAGTATTCTATATTGAAATAAATCTAATATTTTTTTTTTTTAAGAGCAGCTATTAAGAAGCACTTGTCGAAGCCTTCTGAAAATGCTCCCTCAAGATCTCCTTTTACATTACAGTAATTCCTTTGCTAACAAGAAAAAATGCATAGACGTTCGAGCGAGCGAAACAGTCGTCGGAACACCGCGTATTGCTCACGTATAGACGAGACAGTGTGAGTCGAGAGTTTTCTTAGTGTGCGTTACACATATTTTAGAACGGCATTTCTGCCCGCGACGTCTTATAATGTAATCTCTCTCGCTCTTACGTCTGCGATAGAGGATGGAAGATCGACGCGACTCCCACCACTATTCCCTCTCCAAGCCGTCCGACGATCGTATACCACTAGCCCGCTACTCCGCCACTCCATGCTGCTCGTGTCTCACCTACAGGCAGCAGAGTGTGAGTGACGCGTCATCGTGTGCGAGTCGCACGGATATACGGATGGCATTAACGCCGGTGCGTGTATATAAAATACTTATAAAATATTTATACAATAATTTTAAATAATAATTCGAAATAAATATTTATAAATTTTTATCATAAATATTGTATGCTATCTAGGTGTTGCCGAGCTTCTCAAGAGGTGTAAACAAAGTATCATCGAACTGCCCAGCAAACGTTAATGAAATGTTCTCGAGCTGCTCAAAGAGTGTGAACAAAGCGTATTGCAATCCCAGATAGCGCAGAGAATTAAAAAAGAATTAAAAAAAATTCAGTCGTATGTCATCAATTCTGAATTTATTTTCAGATGCAGAAAGAATTCTTTAGAGTTCAGTTCAGTCAAAAGAATTTTTTTTATATCTAAAGATGAACTCAAAAATGGCAACGTATGTCTAAATTTTTTTTGAATTCTCTGTGCTATCTGGGATGTTTTGTACACATTTTGCGGAAAATTTTGGAAATGTAGATGAAGAGCTGCTAAATACAAGTTACTGAAGCGTAAACAAAGCTTATCGCAACGCTTCGTATACACTTTGCGAAGCGTTTTGGAAGTGTAGAAGAAGAGTTCGTAAATATAATTTATAGAAATGTAAATAAAGCAACTTCGTACACACTTTGTGTAGCGTTTTGGAAGTGTAAATGAAGAGTTGTTAAATGCAAGTTAAGCTAGCGGCACACGGTGCTTGTTTTCCTGCTGGATTGCTTGTTGCCTGCTGAATTGCGTGCTGCCGTGCTGGCTCCCTTATTGGTAGCTGGAAATGGCTCGCTTGCTGGCTACGCTGCTGGCTGCCCTGCTGGATTTTCGTGATAGAACCGGTGCTATTTTTGTTGCGTGATTCTATGCTGGCTCATTGTCAGAACCAATCAGGATGTTGTTTTAAATGACGACTAAAGTTTCCTATTTATTTTAAAAGTATCATTTGAGAAGTTGAGTAAAAAAGAATCATGACGTCTACAACATGTAAAGTAAGTGACAAAAAGAAAAATGGACGAATGAAGCTATTTGTAGTCTCATAGAGGCCTACAAAGAGGAACCATGTTTATACGCTATAAACACACCTAATTATCATAATAAACATCTTCGAAATAAGGCGTTGCAGAAAGTATGCGCTGCAGTTTCGTTGTTGAGACCTGGAACTACAGAAAACGAGTGCTCAATAAAGTTTCACAATTTGCGAAACCAATTTAATATTGAAAACACTAAAGTAAAAGCATCGATAAAATCAGGAACTGGTACTGACGACGTATGTATGAAAATCTAACTTCTTATTTAACCTTAATAGTTTCTAATGTCGTGTTACTGTTAGTTTCGTTAAAGTTTGTGTTTTAAAATATTTACAGATATACGTACCGAGTCTTTGATACTTTAATGACATGAAATACTTAGAACCCAGATAGCACAGAAGTTTCAAAAAGCTTTCAGAAATGTTTCTGAAACATTGCATCTTTCTGAGATCTTTCTGAAAGCTTTTTGAAACTTCTGTGCTATCTGGGAAGTTATTTCACATCTCGAAGAAGCAGGAATTCTCTAGAGAAAACATGTGCAAAAAAGTCTTTCATTGCAACAGAGGTAAAATACAATGATTCTTTATATTAAGAAATACCAATAACTATAGCTCCTTGTTATAACTTAAATTATTGAAACTGAGTTGTATTCTTTTTTAGTGTCGAGTAAATTATTTATGTTTTATACTGTTTATGTATATTTTTACTGCAGGTTAACGTATCGTCAGAAACTCAATCTCCTGAAATACATGTTGGTGAGGAATATTTGAATGAAGAATGGTTAGATGAATATATGAACAACACATCTAATAATTCTACAACTGATTCAATCTCACAGTTCACTGAATCATCACAAACTGTAGATGCGTTAATGAATGTCCAGTCGTCAAATACTATACATGAAGCTGCCACATTTCCTGTGACTCCCGATAGAACACCTTGCTCAAATAACATTCCTCGCCTACCTCAAGTTATTAGTCCAGCAAATTCTATCGTATCTTCAGGAGTTTGCAGTAACGTATGTTCTTCACAGTCGTTAACTAAAACTGCGAAGAAACGTAAATCAAGTAAATGTAACAACGATACTTATTCTGATGATATAAAAATAACAGCTGATACACTACAGCAACCCATAGTTGTAAAACCACCAGATATAGCTGTAAATAACCTTTCATGTGATACATCAGATCCTGTAGATGCTTGTATGGCATTTGTTGGATCATTATTAAAAAATATAAAGAATAAAGTATTAAAATTAGATGTAATGCATGTATTGATTCAAACAGTTATAAATGCTAGCACAACAGATCTGGAAAATATAAATAATACATAAAAGATTTCTTTGAGGAGAAATAGATTATCTCATCACTCATTTTTATTTTTCTTTCTTAAAACAATTATTTCAAAAATGTAAAAAATATGTTAGTCCTACAGTATTAAAGATCGCAACATTTTATTTGGCAGAGTTCCAATAATTTTTATGACTGCTATATAATAAATTATATTTTATTAAAATTTTGAAGTATTTTTAGTACAATAATTTGACAGTATATTTCCGAATTTATCTTAGACAATGAGACAGTTTGATAATCTGTAGTTAACTTAATTTGTCAATTATTTATTAGAATTGACTGATTGTATTTGTTATTATTAAGTAATATTGACTAATTATAATTGATATTTAATCAGTCAATTAAGTTAGCTGGTGGTAAATTTGGCTCAATGTCTTGTTTAACTAATATTTATTAAAAAAAAAAATATATATATATATATATATATATATATATATATATATATATATTATAACAGTAATATTATATTAACACATTATATAATACTCTTAATACATTATTAATAAAACATATATTATTTTTCTTGCATTGTATAATATCATAAAACTGTTAAGAAATTAAGAAATATAGTTCTACATTTTTTATAACATGTGTATTTACATATAATTAATAGTTTCCTTTCTCTACAGCAGTATATTGCTATGGAACAGCACCAATTGTATTAAAATATTTGGCAAATATATCTCTTACTTCTCCAGCTACAGTAGAAGACCGGTTTCCACCTTGTTGGCCTACACTACGTAACTCTAGTGTTTCTGAATTTTCTGTTCTATTGGGAATACAAATTAGTTCGGTCCGTTTTCAAACGATGGCTCTGGCTGTTATGAATGTTTTATAGTGACAGCTGATTTCGGTGATTTCAGAGAGACTAGACATCTGTCAATAATATTCAGTTTATATCGCTTTGAGTTTTATACAAAACCCCTGTTTTTTACTGTGTTAAATATGTCAAATTTTGTGTTAACTAAGCAGCATTTGCGGGAGGTTTTAGTTTTCTGCTTTAATTGGAAGAAAAGTGCAGCTGAAGCGCATCGAATGCTCGTAGAAGTTTATGGTGACAATGCTCCAACTGATAAATCATGTAGGAAATGGTTTAGACGTTTTAAGAATGGTGATTTCAGCGTTGAAGACAAGCCTCGCTCTGGACAGCTAAAAAAATTCGAAGACAAAGAATTGGAGGCATTACTCGATGAAGATCCGAGTCAAGAATTTGTATAGGCTACAATTGATTCGTTTAAGCCATGCATTACGAGAAAAACGGCCGGAATACGAGCAAAAACATGACAAAGTTATTCTTCTGCATGATAACGCTCGGCCTCATGTCGCAAAAGTCGTAAAAAATTATTTGGAAACACTCAAGTGGGATATTTTACCGCACCCGCCGTATTCGCCGGACATTGCTCCTTCTGATTACTGGTTGTTCCGACGGATGCAGCACGATTTGGCAGGTCATCGGTTCACTTCTTTCGCAGAAATCGAAAATTTGCTCCTAACTTGGATCACCTCAAAAGACGAGACATTTTTTCGAGATGGAATTCGAAAATTGCCTGAGAGGTGGGGAAAAGTAGTAGCCAGCGATGGACAATACTTTGATTAATCTGTTCATTCATTTTGTTCTGAAATAAATGCATTTTTGACCACAAAAAAAAACGGACCGAATTCCCAATATATTTAGCAGGAATATAATTAAGTTCCTTTTTACTTAAAAGATAATTATGCAGAAGGACACATACATATGTTATAAGTTATATTTTTTCTACAGCAAGTGGTATAGGATTTAACAGAACTCTAAATCTATTTGCAAGAATACCAAATGCGTTTTCAGACGTTCTTCGTGCTCTGCTCAATCTGTAATTATATATTCTTTTTTCTTGCGTCAAGCCACATTGTGAATATGGTTTCATTAAATTAGTATGTAATGCGAAAGCATCATCGCCTACAATTATATATGGCAGGTTAACATCAAAACCAGGCAGAGTACTCGGTTGTGGTAAATTGAGAGTATTTGTTTTCAGTTTTATTCCTAATGGACTTTCACGAAACACTGTAGAGTCATGAGAGCGACCATTCTTGCCAATGTCCACAAAGATAAATTTATATTCTGCATCTACTAAGGCCAAAAGGATAATACTATTTGTTCCTTTATAATTACGATATTTTGATCCATCACTGCGTGGAAGACGAAAGACGATATGTTTTCCGTCTAAAGCGCCAATGCAATGGAATTGCCACAAAATTTGAAATTTTTCAGCTACAATTTTCCAATCTTCAGTCTTACTTGGAAATGACATCATTTTGTCTTCAAGCACTGTGACAATAGCTTGCAATGTTTCCGGTATGATTTTTGATGGAGTGTTTGGAGCAATTCTTGTAGAGAACGCAAGATCTTGAAACGCGTTACCAGTTGCCAGAAATCGAAGAGTTGCACTCAGTTTCATTCGAGGACGAATAGCTTCTCTCATTACTGTATCTTTTTTTTCAATATATGGAGTAATGAGTAATAATAGCTCCTCCATAACCTCTTCTTCCAGTCGAGTATAATTTTTGAAAGATCTAGGATCTTCAGGTCTATAAGCATGGAATACAAATAAAATACATAAGGCAGCAAAAATTTAATTAAAACAAATTTAACAAAAACTGTACCTTGATAGTTTCATACTCACCTGAATTCTGCAAATAACATTGTAAGTACACTACCGTAAATATCGCGTCGTTGCAACCATTGTCGACTCCACAAACGTCGGTAACATTAATTCCGTTGTCGTTGCTGTAATGCTTTAATAATTAAGCATAATATAATTGCAATTTTTTTTTTTAATGTATAGAAGCAATGACCTGTTCCATGTTTATGCCTTTCAAACAGACTTGTCCAGTACAGCACAACCAGCATGGAAGCTCACACCGTGTGAAGCCAAACCAGCAACATAGCCAGCAACACTGCCAGCACAGCTGCCCGCACGGTAGCAATCACACAATCCAGCAAGCAATCCAGCACGAAAACAAGCATCGTGTGCCGCTAGCTTTACTGAAGCGTAAACGAAACGTATCGCAACGCTTTCTGCACACTTTACGGAGCGTTTTGGAAGTGTAGAAGAAGAGTTCCTAAATGTAATTTATAGAAATGTAAGCAAAGCGTAATGTAACGTTTCGTACACACTTTGCCGAGCGTTTTGGAAGTGTAGTTCAAGAGTTTCTAAATGTTATTTATAGAAATGTAAACAAAACGTATCGCAACGTTTTGTGAAAACTTTGCGAAGCGTTTTGGAAGTATAGAAGAAGAGTTTCTAAATATAATTTATAGAAATGTAAACGAAGCGTATTGCAACGCTTTGCACACACTTTGTGTAGCGTTTTGGAAGTGTAGATAAAGCGTTTTCTAAGTATAAATTATTGAAAGGTAAAAGAAGTGTAATAGAAATGTTCCACATACGCTTCATGGGGCCTTCAAGAAATGTGTTTGAAGGTTTAGTAACGTGAAGTGTTAATGGAGAGTGAATGAAGTGTCTCAGAGGTGTAAATTCTATTCGTTTACGCTTCTTTAACACTTCGTGAAGCGTCTCATTTTCGCTAGGGACAAGCCAGCCTCTTAGCAATGAGAAATATGTGTCGCCTCGGCATGGTACGGCGAGATATAGGAGCGCAGCGATATAAGCACAGGTAGCGGTGGTTTGTTTTCCAATCACCACGCGCCGATATCTACACGCTATATTACCGGGCCGCGCTGATTCTGTCTTTTACCTTTCAGCGCACGCTTTTCCTTAATCTTTCGCAATTAATTTCTCGGTTATTATTGCGAATATCGCAAAACGATATAAGACTTATGTTCACCTCTATCCGTTCTATATTCCCGTAAAATATGCAGAGAAGAATCTGAGACACTCTGGCATTTGGGGAGACGCTATTTAGCGTTATGAGTGTGCTTTGTCCTTGTTTGTTCTTGAAAGGATGCTCATAGGCCGGTATTCATAGTCCGATCTTATATTTAAAATCATCTTGAGTACTTTCTTAAGATGTCATGAACCAATCATAGAGCCGTATTCGCATCTTAAGCATTATTTAAGACGGTCTTGAAATAAGATTCAACTATGAATACCGGCCATAGTGCTAAATAGCATTTTCCCGAACACAGCCCCTATGTATGTATACAGGATGTCCCAGAATAATCTACAAAGCTCTCATGAGAATCTAGTGCGGGTCAAGGTGAACATAAAAATTCTGTACTATTTTGCGATATTCGTAATAATAACTGAGAAATTAATTGCGAAAGATTAAGGAAAAGCATGCTGAATAATAAACGACGAAGCACTCGAGCCAGCGCAACCCAATAATATAATGCGCGGATGTCGGCGCATGGCAATTGGAAGAACAACGCACCATTGCATAGATATAAGCAGGCAGTGATATGTTGTTCTTCTAATCGCCGCGCGCTATATTACTGGGTTCGCGCTGCGACTCGAGCGCTCCTCCTCTGATCATTCAGCGCGCGTTTTTCCGTTATCTTTCGCAATTAATTTCTAATAATTTCTCAATTATTATTATGAATATCGCAAAACGATATAGGATTTTTATGTTTACCTCGATCCACGTTGCCACGAGAGCTTCGTAGATTGTGTATTCTGGGACACTCTGTATACAGGTATTTCAGACCACCCGTACCACCTATTTAAAATAAAGGGATCAACATTTTATTAAAAATTCAAAACATTTTTTCACTAAGTCGAGCACGCTCTATTAAATGGCTATATTCAATTTCCAGTGTTGACCGGAAGTGAGTTGTTTAGACCGGAAGTTTAGTTTTTTAAATGGAATATCCTATTTTTTTTGCAGATTCAGATTCTACGGTGAAAAATACGGTGAAACTTATGTTTGAAACATTTTTTCCGACAATGTGTCTACCGACCTTGAAATGACATTGAAAGTTTATCAGCTATCAGACCTCTTAAGAACTTCTTAGCCGCAGTGCGATAGTTGCCTTCGTATGACTTGACTTTTTAACATATTCCAAGTACTGAAATAAGTACTTCTACTTAAGTATCTTACTTTCAATTCTTCGTGTACTTCAATTACACTCAAAAATTTTTAAAAAACTAAGACTGACTAAGATTGGAATCGGGACAATAAAATGAACTTTTCAATAAAACATAATTTTATCATTTAACTTTTCGTTATAGTCGGAATTTAGTAACAAACTTAACATTTATTTAGTAACAAACTTAACATGTACATAATTTTTATTCAATTAGTAAATCTTGTCT